CAGGAATGTTTCTGAAAATGACTGCACTTGTAAAATGCTCTTAGCAAATCTCAGAAATCCTTAGTGCAGCTTGTATTCATTCAATGCATATATGTACATTATTTTCATTATGGAACTCTGCTCTTGAGATATGTATCTCAGTATTTTCTGTTTCCTGTCAAACAAACGATAGGCTGCTGCAAAATTATTAAATAATGTGAAATGTCTTTTCAGACTACTAATTTTTCCTGTGAATTCAAGAACACTACAGTACTTTTTGTGTCATTTGTCTTTGCTGAAAGTAAAAAGAGTGCCCCTATAAGAACAATGTGGAATAAAGCAAATGAGTAACTCAGGCCCTATCACAGGATTAAGATAGAATTTTAATTTTCTGTCAACTGCTGAACTAATTGGAATTTCAAGTATTAGACATTTAGAATGTATCATCAGTTTGTGCTTGTTTTTTAAAGGATGAAAATAATATAATTTCCATATTTCCTGAAAAAGTTATCATATATAAAGAAAGATTACAAAATAGTGTGATTTGCAACATTTCAGAAATAAAATACACAGGGGAGGTTTTTTTATAGCAATGTTCCTCAAGTACTGGAAAAACAAGTCAACTGCAGGATGAAAGCGTAAGCCCTTCTTCCAGACTAAACCCTGCATGGTCAACAGGAGAAATATGATTATCCCAAAGATAAACCAGTGCAAACTAGAGGACCGACACTGTAACTCTTCTAATGCAATGTCTGAAAGCAAAGTTCTGTGGTTCCCCTGTCCCTTGCAGCAGGAGCGGTGTTCTGGCTTAACAGAAAACAGTGACAGAGTCTCTTTGGCTTAGTCAGACTGGCACTTCTCCAAAGATTGTTTCCATTTTTTTATGTTATCTAAGTGTTTTGAGATCTTCACACAGACTATTACTAACTAATTAAAAATAGATTCAGACTATTATGCAAACTTATTAGGATTAGCTCTGGAACTTCATAACCTTCTGCACTGAAATAATTTCGGTTAGCATTACTAGTCGGTAAATAACAGTTGAAGGAGAAGCTTTTTTTCTAGGATAAAGTATATGGCTTTACGTTCCAGACTGCAATTGAGTAATAAGCGAAACTGTCTGTTTTCAACACTACATTCCCATTTGCAAGTAAAAGCAGTGAGAGTTCTAGTCATCATCTGTATTAAAACAAATTTTACTGTCAACCTACAAAACTAGTGAATGTCAGCTTCCATTTTGGAGCAACCACTTCCTCAGCATTAAAAAAAATAATAAAATAACATATTAGGTTGCATATGTGAGAAAGAGGGAACTTTTATGCTATCAACTTAACTTGAAATATATGAAATATATACTGCACAGGAAAAAAGCAGATTAATCTAGCACAGCAAATATTAGTAACTGCCGTCTTCTGGCAGAGTCACTGATAACTGGAGAGAAATAATCTTCGAAGATCTCCAAGCAAAATCGGAATATACATCAAAAAACTCAAATGAAGCATTAAAGAGCACCACAGTGAAAAATGGAAATCTTTATTTTCCAGAAATGTTACAATAAGGGTTCAAAATAATACTATCCCTCCTCTTGGAAGTGCTTCAGCACTATAGCTGTGCAAGAAAATTATGCTACTGCTCATTCTGAGAAATGTGATTAGAATTTTTTTTTCATGCAACCAAGGACTGAATGGCACATTTCAGAAACCTTTAAATGATATGGTTCATAAAAAATGTTTAAAGACCAATACTCTTCAAACACAGTATCTTAAAATATTCCATTATACTATATGTTTGATCCCATGCCATTAAATGCACATCATAACTAGAATTTAAACTGATGCCCGCTGGAGTCATACAAAATAGTTAAGGTTATGTCAGCATTTCCATTATAAAGCCCTATCCTAGGGGTTTGCAATCGGACTATAAAATCTTGCTTTGGGCTGAAACTTGGCAGACATAATGTCTCTTTCCTCAGGAATGATTCTATCTAAAAGGTCTGCGTGGAGTGCTACAGATATCTTTATATAACTGAATACAGTACCTTTTGAGAGACAGAAATGGTTAGCTTCCTTCTTCCTCAGGAGGTATTGAGGACATGCTCACGTCAAACTAAGAAAAGCATTTGCCTCCATAGAATGGCCCGTTAGTGCCAGCAAGAGTATCAATAGAGTTGCTGGTGTGTTAACCATTTCACCCTTTATGCTGATTTTCATGGGATCAAGAGGATGCAGCAGCTAAAATGCCACCAGCTATCACAGCTGAGTAAGGCCTACTTTATTATGCTACTAACATCACTAATTCACATGGAAACATGTTGATGGTTGCAACAGAAACTAGCTTAGATTGACAGGGAAGAGACATGTCCAAGTTCCACATTTGTCTCCTGGCTTTGTATTGCTATCTCAGTTCAGAAAGGTTTCGTAAAACACATCACACTGCTCACATCTAGTATGAATGAGCATGGAGCGTTCAAAATTGTATTAAATATGTGATGTCTTTTGACTTATTTGAACACTTTTTCAAAATGTGTGAGGGTGGCACTGTTCTGGGAGCTTACTATCCTACAGTAACCAAGAGAAGAGCCAAGAAAGTTCCCTCGGAAGGGCTAATCATGCTGGACTAACTGCCTTGCATAGTTACCTATACAGCAAATACATCTAAACTATGATGGGCCACATTATCCTCTGGTTTGCATCACTACTGGAATTGCTGTACTGTCACAGCAGAGAGCTGGCCAGACACTGCAGAGGATGCTTTGGTGTGTCCGCACATTTCAGCATTTCCAAACAGCCTTGGTTAAGCAGTGCCTGACAAGTTTTTACATTTTAAAAGAGGTCTTAAACATGAGTTTTCATTATATTAACAGCTCTATCAGGAACCCTGGGCATTAGCTTAGATTTGTTTTCGAAATCCAAGCCATCCCTCTGAGATCATTAGCATTCCAATAGGAACCTTAAGGTCTGATTTACAGACCTGATTTATCCTAGATACGATTTTAAGCAAGGATTCCTCATCAAGCAGACCTGATCTGTAAAACACATAACTTGTCAGCAATAGGAACAATTCTACAATAAAAACAAATAGCAGAGGTATAATGCAATAGCCTTGGCTCTCCAGCCCAGGCCTGTCGCCTGCTGCGTTGCCTAGCTCAGGGTAGAAAACAGCTCACACAGCTCATCCCTTCGAGAAGGACACTGCCTACATCTGGCAAAGATAAAGTTTTGAAAGCTGGACACATCTCTTATTAACACACATTTAAAACTCTTGCTTTAGGAAGTGTGCCCTCAATGCTCCTACAGTTCCAAAGCTGGATCCCCAGAGGAAAAGATATCTGGATCTCTGCGTCAGTAACCCTATTCTTTTCATCAGCATTGGGGTTTCACCTTTGTGTATCATCAGGGAACAGGCTACTTGAAGTTTAGAATTGTGGTTTATAAGAGGCAGACAAATGAATGGGGCAGCTTTAAGAGCCAAAGTTACAGCAACTTTTTCTTTTCAAGAAACTTCATCTTCCAGGCTCTAAAGGCTAAATACAAAACTCAACAGATAACAAAACTGTGGTCTTAGGAAGACTGCTATCCCTGTATAACACTAGTAGTATCATAGAATAACAGTCAATCTGATAGTATTTAATTGCAATACCTATCTATCAGCTGAGATGCAGTCCTAGCATAGTCTATCAAATTGACATAACATCTTTTTCTTCGTTTTGCATAAAATATGATAAAAAGGTTTCTGTCTCCAAAGATGCTGGCACAAGAAAAAGGGTGGGTTTTATTTTTTCCCTCTAAGTTTCTACACTTCTGGCATAGAGTCTAGTGGAAACCTAACATGTTCAAACACATTGTGTACTCAGGGCTTCTACTAACCCAAAGGAACATATTTCTTTTAACATATCTATGTTGTAAATGATACATTTAATGAGATCATGAAAATGTTTTTATTGCCTGAAAATCCACACTGCTCATGATATCCATTCTATGAGAAGTTTTTCTTTTTTTTTAAAAAAGCCACAATTAAAAAACAAAGCAGTATCCAGTTCTAAGAAAAGAAGTCTCCTTTAGCTTATAAT